TATAAAAACCGCGTTCTTGTAAAAAATCTGTTAAAGTTCGTGTCTCTGGAGCGTCATATCTGCACATTCCTGTATATATAAAAGTTTACCCTTCCCAAAATTCAAATATTTTTTTTAGAAATAGCTTATTACAACTATATATATATGTAAATACCTTGAACTTATTGTCTGCTGTGCTTTAATATTGTAGAAGTTGTAGTATTATAACCTAGTATTGTATAAGTCTGTTGGATGTTGTTTATATGCTGTACATTCTAATTTATGAACTTTGTAACTATGTTTATGAACGTGTGCTGTACATATAATGAGTATGTACTACTTAGTATAATTTATTTATTTTTTTCTCATCTTATTCACACTGTATAAATACGTTTATTTAATACTCAAATCAAAATCAACTTGAACCTTGCATCCTACGTACACCAACGTGGTGTTATATTTGTCGATTCTTGTATACCTAGATAGATCTTATCGTAATTAATAGCTTTATTAACTGAACTCGTAGTCATATGATTCAGCTGCCTGTTTATATACTAATATTTTTGTTTTTTTAGGGGTGGCAGACTTTGATGACCTAAGGGTCTTTCGCCACCCCAGTGCTATATCTATCACATTATGTATTGTGACCTTTCATTCTAATATGTATCGTTGTATACTGAATGTAAATATGTCTTATGCACAAATAAATTATTTGAATCTTGAATCTTGAATCTTGACGGACGGACGGACGCACGCACGCACGCACGCACGCTCTTGCGATTCTACGAGCTGCATCTGACTTCGTCAGATGAGCTAATAATAATCTTCTATATATATTAATCTGTTATTATTCACTCCTGGTATAATAACTGCTGTTCGTTTCCCCCCTTCTAATGTATGCACATATCCGAGTAGGAGCGCAGGGCTGCGGCAACTGTATGCGGGCTATAGAACTAGAGCCAATAGTGTATCCGAGCATAGCGTGGCCTTCGGCATATATGGGTCAGTGACGTCCCTCGACAATACACGTGCAAACAACACGCCCGAGTAGAGTACAGCGTAGGTACACGCACCGCGCCCATAAACCCAGGTACACGCAGGCTAGAGTCGGAGAGCGCACAGCTAGAGAAACTATATTATCTGTTATAGTGAATTCGGATCGGACCCACCACTGCCGTCATGCCTCTAGGGCCGTAAGTCACGATTCTTTTTTTAGATCACGTTTACGAGAGTGACTTGTTCTAACTCAAAAATCAAATGTGTGTTAGGTAATTTATTAGATTAATCCGAAAGTTTTTGGTGGCGTTGAGTGCGATAATGGTGACCGTATAGAAGTATGCAAGTAAGACGGTATAGCAAAAGAGGGGCAATGTGAAGACAATCTGCCTTTATTTTGTCACATCGTTTAGACACGTCGTAACCTCAGTTGCTGTGTGCAGGTGATATATAGAAATAATTATGAGTTACAACTTACAAGCGGATTACTGACGGTAATAGACATCAATGGTCCAATTACTATGCCCGGTGAATTACTTATCTGTACGACACAACCAGTGCCACCTGGTGGTGCCTAGCAGCTGTATTGACAGACTAATATTATTAGTATTTACTAACTGCAGCAGGAATTCACCTACGCGCATTACACAATATGAATGTAAACACACGCTTGCACCTATTGTAATCTCCCGGTAGCACATGTATAACCAGCGTTATGCAGAGCTATAAATTCTCTGAAAGGCATCAGTAATACTCATCAAAAAAGGAAGCCATGGCATTTGCAGTGAAATTACATCCCAAATGAACCATTAAATTCGCACATAAAAACGGGCTCGTACCCCATTTTCACTCTCTAATTCTCGCTAAACGCATCACAACAACATTTTATAGGACCAACAACCGATGTTATTGCAATAGTGATGGCTTTTCAATTGGATGTAAAATACGCGAGAGCTTGTGATTCCGATATATGACAAGGCACATGCATTAGTACAAATATAATACGGAATGCCAGGCTGATTAATAATTGCTCGATTTTCCAGCAAATCGGATAAAGATAAAGATGACAAGGACAAGGACAAGGACGTAAAAAAAGATAAAGACCACGATAAAGAAGGCAAAGACAAGGGAGACAGCAAGAGCAAAAAACACAGTGAGAAAGGAAAAGAAAAGAAAAAAGACAAAGGCAACAGTAAGAGCAAAGAACACGACAAGGAAGGGAAAGACAACAAGAACAAGAAAAAGAAGAAGAAAGAAGGCGCTAGCAAGGGAAGTGGGAGCAGCAGCAGCAGCAGCAGTGGTAGCGTCAGGTTAGTAGCATGCCAGCAACGTCAACCAACGATATGACGTATGCCGGATACCATGGTAGATATACGTAGTTAATGTAGTGATATTTGTGAATACCTCGATTGATCATCAATCGATTGATACATCAATTTGATGTGCTCCATTTGTTATAGTTAAACACAATGACATTACTGTTAGTGTGTAGGTACTAGATACAGGTTAATGCTGTATTCCCTATCATTGTCAAATATCAGTAAACAATTAGCTTAATCCCTTATAGATTTAAGGAGAAGTAAGCGCACAAAGATCGTACATATTCCCTTCAAAATTGATATAAACTAAATTATGATCTAAACTACATACCTGTAATGATTCTGGTGGATTTCGAGAGATGATTCAATTTATCACGTTTTATAGACTCAGGATTCTCAAGCTTGCAAGATGTACATGAACTTCATTGGCCACGGTATTCGTCAGTATGAGATCCAACCTCTGATACAAATGTTTGTTGTTGTATTATGTCTTCAGCTCAAGCAGTGATGATGACTAGACTACAATGGATGGAAACGCTCATGTCAGTGTAACTGTCAGCGATGCAGGGATCTCTACAATGATTTACTCTCCAAATCTCAGAAAAAGTGGCATACCATCTACGAATGCAGTGTGCAGTCGTCCCCCTCGTCAGATTCCATGCAACGAAATACAATATCGCTTTATAAGAACTAGACTTATTTGTCTGAATGACAATAGAAGGCTATAATAATTGGAGGTAGGATAGTATGTTGATAGACTGACATTTTTGCAAGGATTTTTTGCAATGCCATTTTCACAGCATTTCCTATTGGCACAACTAAACTATACACGTAAAATATATATATAAGATTATAGGAGATATTTATATAAAAAAACGTTTTACTTATTCCATGCACGTTAAGGAAATATCTATTGCTAGTTGTTATACATGGTGCTGTAATTTGAAGCAAGGATTTCCAGCCCACTCTCTTTCCTCCCCTTTCTCTACACATATTCACCTTACTTATCATTCACTAAGCAGATCAGTGTGGTTATATAGCACATTTGCTTTCCTGTATGCAACAATTAAGGGGCTCACTAGTCTCATGAATTATCTCCAAGACCTGTCTCCACTTCTAAGTCTAACTCCAGGATGTACAAACACGAAATAGACTGCCTAGATACACGTTCCTGGATAGCCCACTATAAGGTGGTTTACCAACACAGTGGTTTAAGTCTTCTTGCACTTCATAGCTACAATAAAAATCAAGATGTTCTCAGTTGAATTATAAGGATCTGCAATGTGCAAGTTGTGTTAGTACATTTTGTGTTTAATAAAAAAAAATTGTGTTCTCATTGTTTAGCTGTTTGAGAAGTTTACAGTGATTCGTTTTCAGAATGTGTGTAATTATCTAGTATTTACTATCTAATTAAGCTTATAACATCTGATATTAAACGAATGAAAGCATTGAGAATTAATTACTAAACATGATCAATATGACATTCTTTTTTCTCTATTTACAATTTACAGTTCTGAAATAATACACTTTCACTAAGAAAATGATATGAATCTCAAAAACACAGACATCCATAAAACATGTAAACATATACTTCAAAAATGTTTCTAATATTACATTAGGAAGTCTTACTCTTGCTTTTACTTTCCCACCGACAATCAATAAATGACGAGTTGATTCCTAAGTGTCTAATTCTCTAGCACCAGGTAGGAGAGTGGTCAAAATATCACCCAAAAGATGGTCTCTGTTGCTCTTTGTAACCTGAAAACAAAATGCCAATTTCTAGGACACTGGCAATACACATAGTAGGCCACATTTATAGGAATGAAGTCCTTTTCTATTTTTCAATGTTTCATCAATTCACATAGAATCTTTACCACATAAGGAACTACCAGGAATTCTGGATGTCGGAAACAGCATGTGTGGGAGGAGGGGTAGAGCAGAGAAAAAAAATTGTATGTTTGGGGTTAACTGAACAGATTCATTTCAGGGATATTTGGTCGAAATTCAATAGATTCAATTGGTAATTACTCTTGCAACATGCTGGAACAAAACAGGCATGCCATTATAAAAACAGAGTTACGGTCCCATGGACTCTGACTGGATCCACCCACACATGTTTAGTGTGAGTCCTGTATCAGAGATATATTAGAAGGTAGACCTACCTCAATTACATTCACATCTGCTCGCACCCGTATTGCTTCTACAAATTCAATAGGTCGTCCCCTCGGAGATGGAAGTGTTGCCAGTATGGGCAAACTGGATGAGTCGTATAGCAACTGTACCGCCTTCTTGAAAGCCATACTGAAAAGCTCCATCTTTCCTATTTCATCAACGACGTAGAGAATGTTATGGTTTTCCTTTAAAAAAAAGAAGATGTATGACAGATAAACTATAACACTTTCGAAATCAAAACTCAAATAACCAGTTAGCAAAGTTTCAAGTAAGGGCATAATGATACATTTGCATGTGTACACAGGCCTTTAAAAAGGCATACATGCGCAAAAGAAAACATACTAACCTGATGTTTAAGTACAGAGAGAGCCAAATGTTCAAATGAATCGAGGTCAACTGCATATTGTCCAACTTGATATGGTGAGCGGTTTTGTTGAGTGGCATTTCCACCTCTGCTATAAAATCATATGTGTGTGTGTAAACTATTGGAATCTAATGATTTTCAGTGAATATATAACCTAATGAGATATTTACTCTTCAGGCCATTTTATAATACATTTAAATAATGAAACATGTTGAAAAATTTCAATACGCAATTAAGCCTCACTGTGACACGATTTTCTGTTCAAACCACTGCTAGAAAGAATCCCACCTACCAAGACAGCTCTTCTATGTACAAAAGAAATGTATCTTGATCCACTTCTGACAGTATTTTAATCGGAGTGAATTAAGTAACTTTGGAACCAACAGTGAGGTGTAAAACATATATCACCTTATTCTTGCAAGGCAGGCTCTACGACCATCCAGCGTACAGACATCAAAGCCTATTCTATGTGATCCTTGTCGAACCTCTTCCGTGTAGAACCCTTGAACATTGACGTTCCTGGATCTAAGAGCTTCACATACCTTACGGACTAGAGTAGTTTTGCCTATACCTAAAACAACAAATATTTTACAGGGTATAGTACAACCACTGTTGGCACAGCAACATTTCGCCATGAGACCGGCTATCTTGATTTTATAGAATAGACTATAGAGGATTGACAAAAATGTTAGTGTCTTGTAATTGTAGATTTCAATTTATAGATAAATAGGACATGGGTAACCATTTCCTCAGACGGAATTATCAGGCTTAGAGGGATGTATGAATTATTATCATTTGAATCTCAAAATTGATTGTATTACAAAATACACAAATCAGGGCAAGTGACAGTATGAGTCACTGAGTCCAGTGAGTGTGTGATGATTGACATAAACTCCACTGCCATAGCCACGACACCTGTGCCTGTGCCTGTGCACTGTGCAGCACTGCAGGGCAGATAAAATACACTCGTTTGATAAAATTCAACAAACTGGTCAATGATATGTGTCTATCGTGATATAGTCAGTCACACAGTGTCTACGTGCTGGCACCGACAGCAAATGTTGAACCTTACCAGGTGGCCCAGTCAACACGACTCTTCCACCTGTCAATGTGGTTGCCATGCTTTATTTACTATATTTACTGTAGAATAGTTGTATCATGATTCGTAATAACAAAAAAACAACCCGTTAAAAATGTTTATTAAATTAATAATTAATAAAATTAATTTACACTTATTTTTATGTATTTATAATACTTAGTATTTGCGGTCAAATTTATTAAATCTCATATAACTTGTTTTTAACGCGAGTAAGCTATTGAATCACCTTGCACCTTCTATCCGGACATATAACTCATATCCGGTTAACAACTAACCGAAGAACAGCGACGGACAAACACTGTTTCTGTGGACCTGTGCACATCAAAAGCGTTTATAGTGATCGACTGTTATCTCTGTTAGGTGTTCTAATGTAAGTATGTGAGTAGATAGTATAACGTAGCCACAGCAGTTACCTATCGGTTAATATATTTATGATTCTAATCGGAGTTATCCGTACAAAGTTGGGGTGGGTGACAAATGACAATGCAATGGAAATGCAAAAGTGAAAGTGAGTACGTACGTTTTCATTTGTTGGTTCTACTTGTTACTGACAGTATACATAACCTAGCCATCTACTGAACTACTAGATGAGCATACGGTTTAATAGTAGCTCTAATAATGATGCGCGATATTTTTCGCTGAATGACATAACTTCATGTTAGGATAAATCATATTGCTTGTTGGTGCTGATCTAGATTATACAATAATACACCCTACTCTTGTGGGGTTACATTGCTGTATCTAGTGCTGATCTTGCACTCTTAGTGTTCCACGTAGTGGTTTGAGAAGCTGGCTGCAGTCTAGCCCCAAAGAAACAATCATGCGTTACATCAAAATACAATTTGTATTGTGTATTAACCTAAATTGACATGCGTTGTTACGTTAGTCTTCTTACAGCCTTGTTTGGCTAGCTGCACTCATGCCATGGCTGTTACAACCACAGGCACTTGGAACGGTTCAATAGAAAAATGATGGTAAATAAACACGAAAGGTATTTACTACCAAAGTCTCAATGTTTCTCTACTCTTTTTCGCCTACGATTGCCGCTAATTTCATGTAAATGCCTTTCAAATGCTCCTATGCAACAGTATACCGCACGCACGCCACTGTGCATAAATAACAAGAATAAAGAGTTTGTCCTTCTCTTTATTGTTGTTGTTATTAGGAAATTATTAGCAATAATAGGCAAAAGAGAGTAGATAAACAGTAAGACTTTGGTCGTAAATACATTTCGTGTTTATTTACCATCATTTTACTATTAAAACGTTCCAAGTTCCTGTGGTTACAACATTGAAACACCATCATCGTGATACAAGTACAACCACAATGTGGGTCTTATAGCCTATAATTTAGGGTATACACTACCTGCATAATATATAGGTATTGAGGATGGGGATTTGAGATAAAAGTCCATGTCAGTGATGGAAACACTTGGCAAATAGGCAAAAAGAAGGGCCATTGAAGAGCTGCAGGGTTGGCTACTGCTTTATATTTTTAAGATTTTTAAAGGAAATTTGCATGATATTTCGACTTTGATAAGCTGTGTATATTAGAAACCAAGTGCTGAATTTGGTACTGCATAATACATTTCGGCTGATTACTGAAAATAGCAATTTGCAAGTCGGCAATTGACTGTATTCCTAGCGTGCTCAATTGCTCAAATTCCTGTGTCTTTACAAATTATCAGCTGAAGATAAAAAGATCATGCTGGTGCCATATATCTAGACAGCTGTCATGTATATATGAAGAAACATTTAGCCATGCCTCTATTTAAAATGGCTTCTAAGTGAAAAGTGCTTTGAGTAACCAGTTCAAAAATGCAAAATCTTTCAACATGATATTGATCAGCAGTCCGGTGTGTCTTACATGGTCTAGAAATTCTAATGAATGCATATATTTCATTTTCCTGTTGTGTATTATCTCAAAGCTACCACAGGGTTCTCCCTACGTTGCGCAAACGGGGCGCGCGCGCCCCGTTTGGGAAAACTCCCCCCTGTTTCAATCGTTGCGCCCCGTTTAAATTACCTCCGCCCCGATTAAATTCCACCACAATAAAAGTTTGCCAGTGAGGGAATCGATCGTCAAGAAGTACCATTCGACCAGGACACCCGGCGCGTGTATTTTTACAGTACCACGCTAGCTCTAGTACTATAGCCGCTTACATGAACTGCCGCTGGGCTATAGACCGACCCATGGGGCATGCAATGGACCAACGTACTCCAGCCAGTCAGCGGGAGCTATGTATTTCCGCATGTAGAGGGGTGGGCGGGTTGTGTTGGTTGTGGACAAAAACATTGTTGTTGTCAAGTAACAAATTAACAATAGTAATTTGTTCATCTTTCATGACAAAACTAATATTACAATCTCGTTTGATCGCTTAATTTGTTACTTGACAACAACAATGTTTTTGTCCACAACCTCCCCGACCCGCCCACCCCTCCACATGCGGAAATACATAGTTCCCGCTGACTGGCGCTGCTGCAGCGCCGCCAGAAATGGCCGTTTGAAGTTCGCAAATCGAATGTTTGTTCACAAGAAATACCGCAAGTATACCATTGCAACGATAGTTAGAGGTTCAATTTTAGTAGCGGCTATAACTTAAGACATATTCACTTCGGATAAGAGGCATTAATTGCCTACCACAGACGTTTTTTTTAGCCGGATACATTGGGGATAAGTTGGTCCATTGCATGCCCCATGGGTCGGTCTATAGCCCAGCGGCAGTTCATGTAAGCGGCTATAGTACTAGAGCTAGTACCACGCATGCACTGCAGACAATACACAAGTACAAACAGTCAAGCTGTCCCACACCCAATACTAACTGTACACCGACTCGGCTATCTTATATATACAAGAACCCCAAATACCGTCTATGGTGTGGTGGCGATTTTACGCATTAATTAGTGGTACGGTAAAAAAACACGCCCCCCTAGTTCCCCCCCTCCCCCCCCCCCCCCCTCCCCTTCCCTCCCCCCTGTTTGAATTTCATCCTGGGGAGAACCCTGTACCATATACAAACTAGTATGTGATGTTTAGTACAATATCAGAGGCTACACATTATTCGTGACTCATGGAAGACTAATTGAGCAATATGAAAAATTACAGTACCTGACAGCCAAGTGGATACAATTCTGTCACACAAAGCGGTACACATAATATAATTTGTGTTTCCAGGCACGCTTGAAGATAAAAAAAACACAGCCTACTTAGAGAAACTGGTTTTCAAGTATGGAGTAGAAAAGGGGTTTCAAGGTAAACCTAACTAAATAATATTATACATATATATCATAATTTAGAATTGAAATATTAGTTGTTTATTGAACAAGTTTACAAATGGGGTCAGTACCCCTTTTCACTTTTCACAAGAACTCACTAGAAAGTCAAAAAAATGTGGCACTAGTGAGTCTCATCGCAGCCATGTAATATTTTGGAAAGGTCTTGTATTGCACAATGATATTCCATATATATATATGCCTGTCTCTAAATCCTGCAAGTCTGAAATTCAATTAGCTGTTAGACATTTATTGTGCATGTCATGGAATTTTAATTTCTTTTGGGCATGGCAAGTGTTTCCATGAATGTAAACAGAAATGTTTAGGGATCATAACAAGTTGAGGCCACACTATGGGATACATTTCCTTTAAAAGCCCGGTTACAGTGGCAATTAAACTTGTGTCAACTTTTTATGTGGGACAGGGAGACCGTGATACGTAAACAACATGGAATTTATGGGAGGGGCATATGGGCAAAGCAGGTAGGACAGACAGACAGAGCTTTATTGCAGTGGAGATCAGCCAATTATTGAGGCACCATGGAAAATGCTGGGAATGCTATACATGGTGAAATTTGAGCCTAGCTTGAGATAGATTGGCATGCTTTCATCAAGCGTTGATAATGTTATACCACTACTAGGGATTAGTGTGTACCAAATAAATATCTCACACCCTTTAAAATATGTCTACTGTTTGGAAAATTCACGAAAAAACTCATACTCCGTAGGATAAAATACGTAGTCATATATTTAGTGCCAAATATATTAGCCACATAGCTTGTTTTATATGCTATTCATTATATATGTTTACGATATTCCAAGCCCTAGAAGTATTCATCTAGTAGGTTGGTTTAGAATTCAGATATGTTTTCCACTTTTCCTGGGCTAACCAAATGTGTGGTAGAATTTACTAATGTATCTAGAGTTTTTTTACAGGATAAATGAAATATTCATTTTCTCCAACATTATAAATTACTCTTTGAGTTAAGTGTGAGTTTCAGATAAAAGGATCTCATGATTGACCTCATGTTTGTTTCTCTCTAAAAAGTTACATAGTCCCATGTAATTTAGAAATTTGAAATGTAGGAAATGAGATTGAGTGAGAAACAATTACTCCTAAATTCTTCCATACCAAAATTTGGTCAAATTCAGTCATCTATGAGCATGTAGTGACCAAGAGAATGTTAAATCTACTACCAAGATCCGCATGTTTTTGTAACTGTTTGCTGTCGATTTCCCCATGCATTTGATACGAATTCCATCGGAGCAGTCGTGACTCATATTCCTTATCATAAAAGCCAGTACACCCGTATTTGTTTAATCAGTCATACTATTACTAGTTAGTATGTATCAGTGTGCAATATTGCCGTCCTTTTTATTGCCCTGATCTCACCATTCCTCATCCCCCTTTCCCATAAACCCCCTCATGAGCAGGAGGGGGGGGGAGAGAATGATCATGAGGGAGAGACAGAAAGAGACAGAGAGAGAGGGAGGGATAGGGAGTGGGAGTGAGCGTTAGGGGGAAGAGTGGGAGGTATGGTGGGGGTGGGGTGGGGTGGGGACAGGAGCTGGAGTGAGAGCGAAGGTTAGATCGGAGTGATGCGTGGGTATGTTATGTGGCGATCACATTCACGTGAATTGCTCGCGGGTCCATTCTTAAGTCGATCATGTTGTTTCTTTAGAGTAGAGCACACTTGTGCACATTCTAACTGTGGTGCTTTTGTGTTGTGCATTTGGCTGTCAGTAATTCCGATGTTTGCACTGCTACTATTTGCAGGCAGACAGCTCTCAACCATGTGAGTATAGAAAATGCCTTTATTCAAGATCAAGAAAAGTAAGAAGTACAATGTGGTGTCAAAGAACTCCTACGTGATTTCGGTGCAGATGTTAGATAACACTGTAGTGGAGTGCACACTGACAGCTGAAGGAACAGGACAGGAGTGTTTGGACAGGGTCTGTCAGCGCCTGGAAATCAGAGAGGTAGTAATATGCAATTCATTTGTTAATGAGTGCACGTGAAACCTATGACTCCAGGTTGCAAAACAGCATCGAATTTTGCGTTTTGTATTTATTATAGGTTCTAAGGAAAAAATCTGGCTCATTAAAATATATAGTTTTTCGAGTATATTTCATTGATGGTTATTACCACGTCTATATATCTGTGCAATTATTATGGAAATATAGTGTAACAGTATTATAATTATGGTATTACAATTACATAGCCAGCAACACTTGGGCTCCAATATATAGCTGTCTGTGCTTTGGGCTGCCAGGTAGTCAGAAGTTGTAATAAGGATTACTGGTATGTTTTGTGAGCACTTTTTGTTACCTGTACTGTACCTAGAATTCTTCCCTAAAACAGCGTGTATGCGATGGTATTGCTTCGCTGTGCAAAGTTTACATTCTGTGCGTTGACCTCTGGGAGGGGGGTCAGGTTTGAAGCGAGCCCTGCTATGGGATGTGGCCTGACGTTACGTAGGAATCGAGCAAACATTGCATATGTACACAGTTCTTTCGGCGAGTTTCATTCAAAATCTACACAAGGGTCGTGTGTCTCTTCAGTTTAAGCACGAAAAATAGCGAGGTACTGGTTTCGAGTACAGTTAGCGTTTTTAGCAGCAGAGCGGCTTTATTCGTCATCAACTTTGAGCCATCGCCTGGCTTTAAAACAACCCAAATGAAATTTAAAGCATTGGTGACACTGACAGTGAATAATATGTTAGAACACAGACAGTGAGATAAGCCGAAGGTACTAATAAAATTTGTGTAATTTCTATGTTTGGTACACTGGTATATCTGTGAAGAACTCAAGAAAATTGTCGTTAGTCCAGGCTATTCATAGGGTGTCGTTGGATGTGTGAAATCTTGAATGCCTTAGTGTACCAGCATTAAAAATAATACTGAAAGCAAGCCTTTTAATCTTGGTCAACTAATATATCCGTGGTATGAGGTGAAGGAGTGGTAATCAACTCTAGTGAATGACGGTAACAAGTGCTGCTTATGCACGCAGGGCCTCAGTTGGGCATGGGTGTGATATTTCTCCTGTCTGTTGACCCATGTGTAGACAGCTTGGTAGCAATGCAAGGCATGCTTTACCCAATGCTTCCTTGTTTTCTTTTATTGCAGTTTTGTAAAAAGCAAGAAACGAGCCACATTTGGCAGTCATAAACAATACTATGTTGATAAAGTTCTTAGTTAGTCACTCTTAGTTAGGTAGTCTCAATTCATTCACCAGATAATGAGACTCTTCTGGGAATTTTTGGGTTGGTATGTTTATTTATGTTAAAACTTTTTCAGCGACTGGTAAAACGAGATATTTGTCATATTTGGCACTGTAGGGGGTATAATTGTACTAACATCAACCACACAAAAACCTTCCACGGTTAAAATAGTACGCCCTGACTAATCTTCAAGGTGCCGTGACGCCATCTAGAAATCCAGATCGTTGCTCGAGTGTTATAAATTATTAACGTATACAACGCAGTCTAGAATGTAACAAACTGAAGTAAGGGAACGCCTAAAACGGAGCGAATATAAAACCTCAGTAGACGTTATTTGAGCAAAAACGTTTAGCGATCGATCACCGGCAACTAACCGGAACGTTTCGTCTTGCAGCAACAATTTTTCGGACTTCGGTACGTGTCGAAGAAGTTGAAGCTTCGATGGATAGAGCTGAACAAGCCACTGCAGCGAATACTGGAGAAGCATGCACACGAGCCATGGCTCTACTTTGGTGTGATGTTCTACGTGTCGGACATAAACAGCCTGCGAGATGACACCGCCAGGTATGGCACATGCAGCATGGTATTAGGAGTGAATAATAATAGACTATTATTATTCACTCCTGATGGTATATATATATATATATATATGGTATATACACAGCGAAGATGTAGCCAGGTATGGCGCACACAGTAAAAATGTAAACCCTAGGAGTGAATAATAATAGACTATTATTATTCACTCCTGATGGTATATATATATATATATATATATGGTATATACACAGCGAAGATGTAGCCAGGTATGGCGCACACAGTAAAAATGTAAACCCAAGCAGTTTACATGCCATATAGTTCTGGCTTGAATTAATTAAGTAAGAGTCAAAAGTAGGTTACCTGGCGAGGCAATTAAGAATTAAAGGTAGGCTCCGGTTATGTCAATGAGTCATAGATTTTCGTCTTTGCGATGTGATGCATTTCGTCTGTACCAGTCGTATGCTATATGCAATCTTCAAAGAATTAAAAGGCAGCACTTGAATTCCATGACAGGATGATGCAGATAGGGTCAATAATAAGTATGACTAGGTGACTGTCATCTGCTGTGTAGCAGGATTAGATGAACTCATGGGCGATGCAGTTTAAAAACTCCCGCATGATATACACACGGAATTGGTAATCCTAATGCTTCTGAAATTACCAAATTATCTACATTCTAGCCTATTGCACTTTCTGCATGAATAACAAGAAATGGTGCAATGATGATGCGTCATATTTCATTGTTTAAATGAGTATTCTAGTAGGGCAGAAGGGGTCGTTGTCGTATCAGGTACTACAGATATGTACCCGAGGTACGTACCCGAGGTACATATATGTATACACAAAGTGTACCAAACTTGTACTACAGAAGTGTACCCTAACCCTAACCCTAACCCTAACCCTAATCCTAACCCTAACCCTAAACATGCCTTATATAAAAATATAAACATAATACTAAACAACCTAAAACTACCTCGGGTACATATCTGTAGTACCTGATATGACAACAACCCCATCTGCTCTAGTAGGTAGTTATATAGGTTGATAAATTTAAAATGACTGCCATTGACTACTAAGTGTTCATGCATGCATAGGTAGATAGCACCCACGAACTTCCCAGGAACAATAAGGGATTATTCACAGTTGCATTATTGATGGGAATGCATGAGTACATTTTGTATGCTTCACTGCACAATAAATACGTGTGAGTGGATGTGCTATAGCTGCCCCCATGCGTACTATTGCCTTTCTTCTAAAATCCGCTTAGAGCATCTTTACGGAAGTCAACGCACCGAGCACCTGGTATTGTGCGCGTGGATACAGTGACACCATGCGTAATAGAGCTAATCTGAGGTCGTGTTACTTGGCTTGCAGATACCAGTTTTACCTGCAGCTGAAGAATGATGTAATAGAGGGCGTGCTGCAATGTTCGGCTGAGCAAGCTGTCCTGCTGGCTAGCTACAGCTTACAAGGTACGCCCCTCTTATACGTTGGCACATATCCATAATAATGTTATCATTCAGGGACCAATTGTCAAAAAAATCGTCAAGTTTATGTTAATGTTAATGTTAAGATAGCACTTACGACTGATGTTAATGTTAAGACTAATCTTAAGACTAATTCTGTTTCTGACAATGGGCCCCAGGGCACCGAGGGCTAGTGCTAGGGTTATTCCCCTTCCACCTAGGGTTGCCCTTCAAGTTCATACTAGCAATAGTGCATGGAATATTGGCTGATGCTGATAGAGTAGACCGCTGTGGCTGCCCTACTTGCTTTACCTTTGTGGTCTTCTCATTAATTCCATGATGTGAATGTATCCTCCCATGTTTTAGATAAAAAGATAAACCATATTCCATAATCTATATCAAATTCAATAGGTAGATTATAATTCAGTATTATAACTCAGTAATTATAACATAGAGCCGTCAACACATACGTATATATTAGAAATTGAAATAAGACCTCTAAGTCTAATCATTTCTGGATGTGTTTGTAATTTGTATATATATATATATATTTTGAGTGCGTGTGTGTGCGTGTGCATGTCCGTGTGTGTGTGTGTGTGCGCGCGTGCGTGCGTACGGGCTTACGTGTGTGCGCTTTCTCTGCAACGCCGCCGCTCCCACATCCCTCTCTCTCCCCTCCACAGCCGAACTCGGCGACCACGACGACGGCAAGCTGACGGCGGAGTACCTCAAGGACTTCGTGCTGCTGCCGCGTCACATGACGCAGGACGACGCCTCGCTGCTCGCTCTCACGCAGCAGGCCGTGTCCGCGCACCGCGTGCTGCGAGGCGTCGCGCACCCCGTCGCAGAACTCTACTACATAGTAGAGGCACAGCAGCTGGATGGCTACGGCCAGGAGTGCCACCCCGCCACGGTGAGAGCGAGGAGGGGGAGGGGAGGGAGGGGAGGAGGGGAGGGGGAAGGGGAGGAAGAGCAGCTTTACTACATAGTAGAGGCACAGCAACTAGACGGATACGGTCAGGAGTGCCACCCCGCCACGGTGAGAGCGAGGGAGGGAGGAGAGGGTAGGAGGGAAGGAGGGGAGAGGGAGATCTAGTGCAATAGTGAGGGGCACTGCAACACCCTTATGCCACGCAAGAGTCGATCCTCATTGGAGGAAGGGAGGGAAGGAAGGAGAGAACGAGTGAGAGCTAGAGAGAAGAAGGGAGGCAGAGAGGGAGTCAAGGTCAGGTGAGGTTAAGAGGGAGGCATAGACACGGCTAAAGAAAGAGAGCAAGATGGAAAAAGACAGTGACTATAAAAACAGTATCAAGAACGAGACACATGTGTGTAAAACCAAAACGATCATTGCTCCCGAAGAAATCCAAATTTTACAAAAAAAATATAAAATTACAAAAATTAATAAAAAAAAATAAAATAAAAAAACATCTGCGATATCTTGCAGGATGAAGCTGGCAACGAGCTGCTGCTGGGTGCATCGTCGACGGGCGTGTTCGTAAGACATCTGAACGGACAGCCGACCGTGTACTTCCGCTGGAGCGACATTGTCAACATGGAACACAACAAGCGTCTCTTCGGTATCGTCTGCTCACGAAGCAAAGAGACGGTGCAGTTCCAGATGGTACGAGGGCACCACAGTCGCCCGTCTGTATTCTGTTTCGCTTGAGTGGAGCACGATGTTAGTTGATTTCACTAGGAGAGGCAATTTTTAAAATTTATTGTAGTAGAAGCGTGCTGTGTTATTTTATTTTAGG